TCGCAGAGATGGATAAAAGAGATAAATATACGGACACGGGTAGAATTGAAAAAAGAACGATCCACGTTGTAAAAAGGGCCAGGAATAAATCTCAGGAGGAGGGGCCAGGCGAATGGAGAAGCTTAATTGAATCTACGATATCCATTCGCGTTGATTAATTCAGTTCGATCACCGCAACGGGATACAATTATTTCATGCAGAATCGCTGCAAGGGACATTTGTATCTATGGATTGTCCAGAGAAGCTTCTAATAATTATGCTTTCTCGTAAATCTGTGTTTGATGTTCAGATCTGTCGTATGATTCCACAAATGCATCAACGATTTAAATAACTATGGAATCTGTGCACCTTGTAATTAATATATACTGCACGTATCCACGCGTTATTAATAACGAAGGCTTGCCTTTCGCGACGTTTGACGCGTCGAGCGGACGCGTTTTAACGATAAACGCGTTTTCATCGATTCACACAAGGGACTGTGCTTTAATACGTATACACCCGGATAACTATTAATTCGACAACATGCGAATACCAACGAAACGAATTTCCTGGTGTACAAGGTAACAAGGGGTGCACCGATGCTCTTCGCCCCTGATTATTATCCATAACGTGTCGAGTATCGTTGTTACCCGCTAACAAACGCTGGAATAATAGGAAGCCGACCTGTTTTCAACGGTAAATAGAACAAACAACGACGATAAGCATGATTACGTTCTCTACGTGCCCGACACTCGTACGGAGTGTTAACCCGTTCCCTCGGATGCTCGACGATAATCAGAATCGATTTGCTATTGTTTCTGATGAATGACCAGCCGCCCTTTCTACCGATCGGCTGTGTTTTGTTTAACATTGGATCAGAAGACTGTGTCCATCCGATCCGCACAGCAGGAAGCTTATCAAAACGTTCCGCGAAACTGAACAGGAAGATCAACTGGAAATCAGATTCATAACTGGGTCGATGCGACACTTTGATGAGCACACATTTTGGGAAATCTAACTTGGAACTTTCCTTTGTATATCTAACAGGAAATTATTGTGCTATTATGTTCATTTAACAAAAGCAACTGAAAATAAAATTTGCAATAGAAATGATTTTCTGTTGTACAATTTTAGGAGGTGTATGGACCGAAAATTTCCATAAAATCCTCTGAGCATAACTGTAAATACGGATTTAAAGTGTAAATAGAGGAAATATATAATTGATAAAGTGGAAATAACAGTACGTTTCGATAAAAGCGTAGCGACTCGAATTTCACAATCGAAGATATTACGTTGCCGAGAATTCGCGTATCGATCGACGTACGGTGGTTAAGTCCTGTTTTCAATTTTATGATTATCGAAAGGATAATTGGTTAGCCTGTCCCATCCTGGCCGAATGTGACAACGCTAAAACGATGGTGAAATCGAATTTTCGTCGAACAAAGAGCGGATCCTAGCGTATCATCATTTATTTCGGAACGTCGCGAAACAAATTTACGCGCTTGAACGTAATTTGGCAACGCGAGGTATCAGCGATTATTTCGCGGAACCCCCGTTTCCCATCCGCAACGACGGCGCGTATTCATCAGCGAGTAACTACGGATATTGCAGAAGCACGCTCACAGCTTGCGGTACGTATGGACACGAAGTGAAGCTCAGTCTAATCTCGCGTACAACGGGTAACTTCGCCAAGACAATCTAACTATCTTGCTCACGTACGGAACAACGGTGTAACTAAGGAGATAGCCAAAGGGTACGTCGAGTCCCAACACAAGTCGAAGTCCGTCTAAGAACTACTTTCCCTCACGTACAGTGAGTCCTTCTGTTCTCGGGTTAAGATGAACAGATCTGGCACAATATAAGTCCTCCCTTTGCCGTGTTCCCCAACTACGGGAAGTACAGTTATTACGTTAGATTGTTACATGTTAATAGTCCAACACGGTTCGACGTGGCATAAAATGAACCGTGAAATAGATGCGGAATAATTTTACTAAGATTCACGTACACTCGTGCGCGCTTCTTTCAACAGCTGTCAGAGAACAGGCTCGATAAGCGCGAGATGCCGTAAAATTTCCATATCGAAAGCTTCGCGATCTCTTATCAAATAGTCTTAGAATTCCGAAACGTCGGCCGCGTTCGTTTGCATATCTCGCGAAGAAGGAGGCTTCCGTAAAAGCTACGTCAGAAAATAAAAATTTTCGACGCCTACTTGAAATACAATCGTTCGATACGATCATTGTCATAGAATTCTGAAAGCGTCGATCGAGGAAGCTTGTTCCGCGCGGAGAAACGGAGGAGAGCATCCGCTTTAATTTTAATTCGAGACTCAAAAGAAGAAGTCTCGTCTAAATGAAGCGACGTCGCCGTCTCGATCGACGTCCCGTTGCCGGGGATAGCGGCAAACTTTTTGCCGTTGCTGGCCGACGGCAAAAATGCTACCCGATTAATTTGTATCCCTGATTCCCGTGGAAAGCGCGTACGGGTTCGCCGTGTATCTGAATAAAACATCGCAGCCGATCCAAGCGGGTGACTAAATTTTAAGCAACGCCAGGGCGCCGCTTCCGCGGCGACCTTTTCAAAGTTCAACGACACGCTACGGGACTTGTAGCTCTCTGTTGGGAATCTGACATAAAAATTGTAAATCGGGGATATACCGGTGCCTGTGGCTCGATACCGGAGGGAATAATCGTGCATCTCGAACGAGCTCGAAACTTTTCTACCCCCCGTACGTTCTATGAAAAAGAATAGTTTCCCGGAGAGAAGGAAGAAGAGAAAAAAAAGAGAATTCAAGTATCGAAAGGCAACGAGAAGATCGAGTAAAATAGAGAATGATGGTTAGCCTCGATGTTCGGTTCTTCGTTAATGGTAATGATCGCGTCCTAAAAGTCCTGGTGAACTCGCGAAAGGAAACATCGCGATTTGTATTCAGGACGCGTTATGCCGTCGCTACGTAGCGTGGAACAGGGTACGAGCCAAGCTAAGTCGAGGGGGCGGCCGGGTGGATTCGCGAAATAAACTCTTGAATAAGAGAGAAGCGAAGGGGTTGGTGTGCGAGAGAAGAGGGTGCACCGAACGGTTAGACTCTTGCGCTCCAGTTCGGCTTCCGACGATAAAAGTGAGCTAAGACCACGCAAACACCAACACGACCCTCTCGTTTCGAACGCGAATGTATCTATATACGCGTACGAATCGCTTATGGCAACGTCGATGTGCAACACTCGAGGACACCCCCTAGGAGACTTTATTTGGCGACGTCGTTCGCCGTTCTCGTTGCTCGTTATCATCGAACGAAATTCTGAATGGATGATAATTAACATGGGGGACAAGTCAATGAAACATAATTTAACTCTTTGACGGCGGACCATGAAGAGAGCCGAAATTTTATAATAATTTAATTTTCTATTTCATATCATTTTCATTCTCTAAATTTGAATAATGGTACCATATAAATTTAAACTGAATTGTGTTAATGTAATTATTTTAAAATTAAAACCACAGTGGCCCCAGAAAAGCACCCATGGAACTAGAATTGGAAATCTGAGGAAGGTTTATAAAAGCGCCGCGAAGATGCGAACACGAACACGTCCGAATAATGCCGGCCTCGGTGTACACGGAGTTGTTTAACAGTGGCTACCTTTTGAGCCGGTACCAAGGGAGAAAAGGGGTAAAAAAACCTGATGTATCTCGTAGTTCGTTTAAACGAAACCTTGCAACGGAGAATGGTAAACGCGCCCCAAGGGTAGTAACCCAACCGAGGATGCTAGTAGCGGGCCTGAATGTTGTCGAGTAATTAAACAAAATATAGAAACAGTTAGCGTTTCCATGGCTTGTCGCCTCTTTACGCGGACGGATCTTTTTTAGAAACGGCACCACGGTATTGTACGTCGTCGCCGTTTTGTGCGAATGGCGTAAATACGCGCGAGTGCGTTCTACCACGGGACCGCTCACGGTTGTGCTCTCAGAGAAGCTGTTTTGGCTTTCGAGATACCCGACGTTGCTGGAACTCTTGAGCAAACGTACTTAGGCGGAGCGTTTAAAGGCCTCCCTTCTCTCTCTTTCTGTCTCTCTCGTTGATGCCTTTCTTCGTCGAGTAAATGTAATTAAAAATACTCGCTTGGTTAATTTCCAAACAGCCGCGAACGGTACCCGGAGAACCGCGTTATCACCGAAAAATTTCGTTAATGGCGTGTACACAACGACGAGACGGCTAGTTGCGTTCGAAGTGGAAGAGAAACTTCTTATCCGGAGGATTTCCTGGGTAGAATGAATGCCTGTGCGAAAAATAATTGTATCAGGCAAGGGTTAACGTAGATTCTGATTTATTACACCCTCTATCATAGTTTCTAAATATAAATCAAGTATTACCGTGCTGCGAGATGACTATAAATCACGAATGACGCGAATGCTTAATAGACTATGCAGCAGGCTTATGTACAAACAGCTTAGAGTGTCCGATTTACATCGTTGAAGAGATTTGTACGTTATATGCAAACTCTCCTCGCCTACGGTGTTATTTTCGGATTTGACTAATCCCGTGAGAGGGCATGAACCAGTCAAGCGATGACCAACGTTTCGTTTTGAAATTAGTCCGGAATAAATGTCGCGTGCTCTTTGAAAAATCTTCAAAATCACGTCCCCGTAGCGTGATATCGCAAACAAGGAGCCATGTGTTTCGGACACTTTTTTTGTTCTGGATCTACTGAAAATAACATAACGATATTCTTCATCGCGACTACTAAAAATAAACGATGCTTTGAACTCAATTCTCAGCCGGTTGATATTGGATGAAAGCATCTAAACTTTAACATTTATGTCAAATCATCGTCTATCCAATTTATTCTTTGCATCCAGGAATAGTGTGAGAGGAGAAATTAAACTTGATCGTAGGAATATTCGTCAAGACGACGCGAACGCTCGCGGTTGAAAAGTCGCGGGACGTATTTCTCTGTTTTGATTTCGGACAGCGCGGCGCAGACAGCAAGAGTGGACGTGAAAATAACCCACGGCAGGAGGAAGGCGTACCTATTAATAGCGAACCGGAGAGTATCTTTGTCGTGTGTTAAGCAGAGTCGCCGTCGGTTTCGCAGCGAAATTCGTCAGTCGATTTACCGTTCCGCGATACATTCTTCGCACGTACACGCCGGGGAAACGCGTAACTCGATCGGAACACGATGTTCCGCAAAAGTTTGCGCCCGTACCCGGCAGCCGTTCTCGTTGTCTGTTGAATTTCCTGGCCGTGGCTGGTCTAAACATCGCGAAACTAGAGTGCCCTGTGTGTACGGATAGATTGGCACAGTTAGACAGGTGAATAGAAGCGAAGGAAAAGCGCGGAACGGGTTAAAGGAAGGTTGAAAAGTGGAGCTTTGCTGAGGAAGAGCGCGGCGGTTGGTCGAACGCGTGTGAATACCGCAAGATTCTTCGAAGGTTCCACGAGTTTGCCTTTACCTATAGACGAACTGGAAGGAAGTTAAAACCACATTCGAGTGAATCTAAATAAAGAACTATGTGGACCAGTGGATGAGGTACGGGATAGGGAGGGAGGAGCTGGCTGCGAGAGGGATATGCGGTGAGTAAGAATGGTACAGCGGGCCGCATGCAGCATCGAGGCGAACACATTCCCCAATGGCGTACGGATCAGCGACCGGGAAGGAAGAACGTCGGACGTCGTCGCGACGGAAGCGTCCGCAGACCACGTAGCACGCGCGGTACACGAGGGACGCGGCACGCCGAGGTTCTCCCTGTTCAAGTGGTTCAAACGGTCGGGTAATCGCGAGTCGGGCGCGGACAAACGACGGAAAACGATCGGCAAGTATCCGGTGGATGACAACGGACGACAAGAAAGCATCTCGTCGAGCGTCGAAAGCGTAGACACGTTCTACAGCACCACGACCGTGCGCAGTTTCGCCTTTCACACTGGAACCCTGAGCAGATGCGACGGGCTGTCGTTAGATATCCTTGAACAAGCAGCCGAGGTTGGTCCGTTCGCGGCTGGAGCATCGAAAGTCGCTGTTGGCAACAAAGAGAACGAGCTCGCGGATGTCGCTTGCACGTTGCCCACCAACCGAAGAGACATCACCGCAAGATACTCCCTTCAACCATCGACCGCGTTCAATTCCTGCGGAAATCTATCCTTTCCTGACAGACGACTGTTGGAGTCGTTGAAGAGGCTAGACGATCGCCGAGCCAGCTGCAACGTCGGCTCCACTCGCCGGAGAGTCCACGTGAAGGGAAAGCGACGAGCGCCTAATCCTCCCGTGAGCTCGGTGAAGATAACAGAGGTAGATGCACGGGAAACACCGAGGAACAGCAGCAGGCGGAAACGACGGGCGCCGAAACCGCCTGAGAAGCTGGCCGAGGGTAATTCGTCCGCGGAGAAGCGCGAAACTAAGCTCACCGATGGCGGAATGGACGTAGAAAGCCGAGCGGACACCGAGGACGAGCAAACTCTTAGCAACGACACCCTGGTGCTTCAGGGTGGAGTTCTGTTGGCAAGGAAAGAGATTAAACTGAGCGGGAAAGAGAAGAACGGGAAAGACACGAGCTCGAACTCGTTAGACACTGCCATTCCTCGGGACAGCCCGTCTACGACCCATACCGTTGGAACACTGAGCACAGCCATGCCACGACCTTGGTACAAACGGAGCGTCTTCGAACATTCTCGGGATTCCGGACCGTCCAGAAGGGGCGATGTTCTCCGAGGGCCTACAACCTCCACGGTTGAAATAAAAGAAGAATGCGCTGCATCTAACATGGCCGCCTCCACGAGCTACTCCGTGGACGCGTCTCTGTCGAGATTGAACTTCTTCCATCGAGGCGGACAGACGGACGAGCGGAAAAGGGAGGCGAAGAGGAAGTCAGGTCTGTCGATTTTGACGAATATCAGCGAGCTCGACAAAGAGGCTGCCGCGATCGTTCAAGAGGAGCAAGCCCGAGCTAGAGCCTCGATGCTGTTGAAGTCTTCAAGGTTGGTCGACGCGTTGGAGAAGAGGAATGAAGTGAACGAGGAGTTGGTTCAGGACATCGTCGCGTCCGCGATGGAAAATTCATCCCCCAGACGAGGCACCAGGGCTTTGATCTCTAAATTCAACGCCATCAGCAACATCACCAAAGTCACGGTTAACGCGAATTTTTTCGCGAAGAACCAGAGGGATCAACCATCGAAATTCGAAAGAGACGTGGTTAGAAACGCGAGACCATTCGAGCATGCTCCCGACTGGACGGAACACTCGAGATTCTCCGTCCAGCCACCCCCTGCACAAAGTAGCCGCGTGGAGAAAGACATCTCCAGGTACTTCCCGCCGCAGCAAAAGGCGGCGAGAAACAAAGTAGAGGCTCCTACTGCGAAGACCATCTCGGACAAGGAACAAAACGATCGACTGGCGAACGAGACTTTCAACAGGATATCATTTTTACAGAGTCAACTCGCTGCGAATCGACTGAACGACTCTGCTCAGAAGGACAGCGCGGCAGCTTTGATAGAGGAGAAAATTAAATCGAGACAGCAATTGGCTAATGAAAAAAAGGAAAGAGAACCTAAAACTAGTAACGAGGATCCAAAGAGGTACCTGTTGTCTCGCGGACCCGCGGAAAAGAAAGAGCAAGCTTTGAACATTTTCGAGGAACCAAAGAAACTAGACAGACAACGTTTAGACGGTGTGCAGAAGGAATTCTCGGATATTTTCGAGGAGATTGATAAGCAGTTACGTAGGAAAGAGTTGAAGCTCATCGATCGCCGTTTATCCCACACGAACGCGACATCCACTGATCAACGGGGCAAAGTTCACGAGGAAGCCGGAATATCAAGTAAGGTAACTAAAGTGCTCGATATCCTTGTGGAGGCGGAGAAGGACGCGAAGACAAAGACGAGCTTTCAGCCGGAAAAGTCGATACCGTTGGAGGATGCTCGTTCGACGGTTACGAACGTAAAAACGAAATCGGTCAAGACGAGATCACCGATACTGAACACCGTCGAGGATCCAATTACAACGGATTTAAAAGAGATGTTGAAGGAAATGAAACACTCGTTACCAAAGCGTTCGAGACCCGGCAAAATGGTGGCACGTAACGCGAATGTAACGGAGAAAACCGAGGCACCAGGTGGCCAGGATAAAACAACGTATTTCGTTTCTGCAGTGACAAAAGTTGAGAACATCGCGTTGCAAAACGATTACGAGCTCGACAAACAAAAGGTTTCGTGTTCGGTGCAAACCAGCGGGAATCTACGAAGGCTGAATCAACCATCTTCGTCCGTGGAGCAACCGTCCACTTCCGGATGGAAACAGGAAAACGTTGTCTATAAAACGTCCGGGAAGAATGTGGGTGGTTCCGGACTGGTGAAGAATACCTTTCAGTTGATACGACCACGTGATTTCGCTGAAATTGAGGCTACGAAAACAACGAGAACCGGTAACAACGAGAACACTTACGCAAACGTGATCGAACAATCGCTTTACGCCAATGCCCATGTTCCACCTGTGCCGAAAGAACGTTCACCAAGGGATAACATTGGAAAAATGAATAATAATAAGGAAATAACTACACCTGTGACGGTGATTGAACAAAAAACAAAGGAAGAGGAGGAAACGAACGAAAGTGGTGAAGAAGGTAATGCGAGAAACGAATTAATTTATTTTTACTGCGACAGTCGACGTGTTAATTTAATTGACAAAGGTAGTTGTTCTCTCCGACTGAATCACCCTTCTAAATTTATTGTCGCGTGTTATTCATTGCCTTTGAACTAACGTCTCTGTCCTGGTTTTATTACAGACGACAAAACAGCGGAGAAAAACATGAACACACTGGCCATAAACCGATTACTAAGAAAGTTAGAAGCTGCAATCGCGTCTGGCCATCATCAACAAGCTGCCGGTTTGGCGAAGGAGCTGGCACGGCTCAAGATCCATTGTTCCGTGATTCGACAACGATCGGCTCGTCTCAAAGATCAGTTGATTAAAGTCAATATGTACATTGAGGACAAGCTTGCTCACCAGGGACCTATACCACTTCAGGTGAATACCGTCTTAAGCTACTCAAATCAACGTACACGTAACTGATTTGCTATCCGTACCGTGCCACCCTCCTTAGCTAATATATCCCATCTACCGTTTCTCCATTTTTCAAGATATTTTGCAATATTATTAAATTAAAGTATAATAACAGTTGCCGAGTAGAATGACGGTGGCCGAGCTGAAGACAAAGATACACACGGAATTCGAAATACCAACGAACGTCCAACGATGGATAATTGGTAAAAATTTGGCAGATCGCGATGAGGCAAGTTTGAACGAATTACAAGCAGTGGATGGATCACCGATATTTCTATACCTTGTAGCCCCAGGTAAGCGAATTTCTATAGGAAATCGTATGTCACCCCTTAGAACGAAAATTAATCTAAATTTTAATTGGAGAATTAAGACAGACAAATGTGATACAAACGGAGGAATCCAGCGATGCAAAGGAGCTGCCAAATGTCATAAACGATGATGCAAGTACATTCACAGAAGTACTACAAACTGTGGAAGAGGATCACGAAGTAGTCGAGGAAGCTGAGGTATTAATTTGAATGTATGATTCGTACGAATAGGTGCACTTTGTTTAATTCATGAAACGATTTTAAATAGGAGACAGAGGAGAGAAACACACCTGAGGAAGTGAGGATGGAACGATACGAGGAATTGATCTCTTTAGAAAACTGTGACGTAATACCTAATTCCGAGCCAATCGAATGTCCCGTATGCTTCGTTACATACGGCCCACGCGAAGGTGTAATATTAAGAGATTGCTTACATATGTTTTGCAGGTAAAAAATAATGAATAATTTCTTAATAAACTGACTACTAATTTGATTCCATTGTAGGGTAGTTTTAAATATCACTAAAGCAGCATTAATAATGAAACTTTGAGCCAAAATTAGAACCAATTACTAATTAATATTTTCTAGGTCATGTATTGCTAATACGATTAGATACTGCGAAGAAGCCGAGGTGAAATGCCCTTACAGAGATTCCGAATACACCTGTGAATCAACCCTCCAGGAGCGTGAGATCAAAGCAGTAAGTTTACCATTGATATTAAAATAAATATACGAGGAATCCATCCGTATGTTTTCTCAGCTCGTGGAACCAGAAATATACCAACAACACCTCGCGAAATCGATTGCTCAAGCGGAAAACAATGCCGGAAACAACGCGTTCCATTGTAAAACGCCAGATTGCCCTGGTTGGTGCATTTACGACGACGATGTGAACAACTTCCTCTGCCCGGTGTGTGGTGTGAACAATTGTCTCACCTGTCAGGTGAGAAAAAAGAAAATTATAATTCGTCGTCGATCGATCTCTGACATTCTAAATCGATGTTCCTGTCACAGGCCATACATGCTGGCAAAAATTGTAAACAATATCAACAAGAATTAAGACTGTCGAAGGAAACCGATCAAGAATCGCGAAGAACAGCCGTGATGCTCGAGGAAATGGTGGACAGAGGCGAAGCACTCGCGTGTCCGACGTGTGCGGTTGTTCTGATGAAAAAATGGGGTTGCGATTGGTTACGTTGTTCCATGTGCAAAACCGAAATATGTTGGGTAACGAGAGGTCCACGTTGGGGACCAGCAGTGAGTAGTATGCATGTACTTAGGAGTTTGATTATTCAACTCTTTTCCCATGGATAATTTTTCTCGCAGGGAAAAGGAGACACGTCCGGTGGCTGTAGATGCGGAGAAAATGGAGTCAAGTGTCATCCTCGTTGCAATTACTGTCATTGAATCATTACTGGTAGACACAATTACCACTGCAACAGAACCGAAAATTTATTTATATATCAATGTCAATTGTCTCACGATATCGAGATAAATTTTCCTTTGATACCTAATAACGAAGTTTGATAATCGATAAAGCTGATATTGATAAGTAACACGTATATGTTACACAGGCTGCTTGCTCAACGATTAACCTTATCGCGGAACCGTCCTTCGTGGAATTGGATGTAATGAAAGCAATAAAAGAGGCAGATACCTCAATTTCTAACCATTCTTCCTTATTTTCTATCGTAACAGGATGCCGGGGATAATGAATTGTAGTTTACTTAAATCTTCGTGTGCATTATGAACATATAATAAATTATAGATACAGTTGTTTCTCTGCTAATAATACAGGCACCGATTTATTCGTTCTCGTTAGAAACTGTCTCGTTCGTCGAAGTTGTTTCGTTTGTACCAATCTGTTCGAGCCGAGCGACCAACGTCGACTGATGATGTGTAAGCTGATGATTCAGGTTGACGCCACCAGCGTTTTGTAATATTTGAACCAAACCCAATTGAGCGCTCGTGAGATCCATTTCTCCATACTTCAGGAACTCATCCTGTTTTAAAACGTATCCTTCCAATATTCCACCTGAAAGAAAAACACTGATGAAGTTAATTTTTTACTTTTGGGACTACAGATGAACCTTTCATTCCATAACGAAATCTAAAATTTAATTATGCAATTGTCAAATTTGTCTTCATGATTTTACTTACCCAGTGTGTACATTTTCTTACAGCTACGTATAATCTTCTGTAAGGGAACTACGTTTATGTCAGGACTGAACACGAACCACGTGTATTGGCCAATCAACGGGGCTATACCTTCGTAAGGTGAATCTTGTATTGCATCGAGTACAATGTTTGTACCGTATCTTTTAAGATACATGTTCGCTCTGAACAGAGGGACTTGCACATCGAATACGTCTCTTTGATGCATACTGTTCACATGCAAGCAAGCGGCCATTCTTGATTTATCGAGCCAATTACGAACTTCTCTGGATATGATCTTTTCATAGGGTGAAAGTTCCCTCTTAGTTCTACCAATGCGTCTGTTCAAACATAATTCTTCCAAACTCTTTCCAGCATTGGGATTTACATAAAAGGGCTTCACAAGTTCGTTCACCACTGCTTTCTTGTAAAATATTTTCGGTTTCCTGATATTGATTTTGCCTCTGAAACGCTTCTGCTGGTACAACACCTGATTAGGTGTTAACTGAAACGCTGAAACAGAAAGAAATGCACTGTGTTTCTAGGAAAAGTAAACCAGTTCGTTGCCTGTTTAATCGACTTACCTACCGTAATACTCTTTGGGCTTCGTTGAACACTGTTCGTATCGAATGTTACTTCCTTTGTGTGTAGGTACACGTGTGAATAGAAATTTTCCAACGATTCAACTGTCGACGAACGGAATTTCTGACAATCTGATTTTTATCGTTAACGATGGAATAGTTGAGTTCAACTTGCACACGTTACTCGTATTAAGTACATGATTTGTTTATTTTAAAAAATAGATATACATGATCGGTACGAATTGAGGACGAATACAAAAAATTATATAATATATATACAGAATTAATTACTTTTCTTTTTGCAACGATATAAGGCACTTTGGAACAAATGATACATGTAAATAATAATACCTATATGTACGTGTACGCGTGGGACGTGCATATGAGTGTTTAAAAAAAAAAAAAAAAAAAAGAAAATCGTGTATTCCTCTCTTGTGTAAATATGTGTATTTTCTAGGTGTTATGCACAAGTAAGTTTTATGTATTTTGTATCTACGGTTGTGTTAAGGCTCCATTCGAATATTATGCGATATAGTTGATCGTTCCGCTGCAATAATTGCTAGTCTCGTGACGAGCTTCTATGCTATCACCGAAATTGAGCGATTTCCTATTCTTTCCTAATCGTAGCATCGAACGAATGCCTCCTTTCTTTCTTGAACGTTTGTATCGATCGTCCAAAGCGGAATTCAACGAGGCTTGCTTCACGTCCCCGCGACTATTCGGAAAACCCTCTCGATCGTCCTTAAAGTTATTGCTATTCGCTATGTCGCCGTGTACATCGTCTACCAGCCAATGCTTCCTCGGTGAGGTGAACTTATTATTACATCCAGGAATAGTGTACATGTATTCCGATTGAGCAGGATCCACGGATTTCTCGTATCGTTTTATATTATTCTCGCTCTTTGCGTTGACATCGGTGGTACCTTTACTTTTGTTCTTCTCGAAACTCTCCGCCTTACATCCTCGTCTCGACTGATCCTCCGAATCCGTCGATTGATTGGATACCTTCTGATTGGCTTGTTCTTGATTCTTATTCTCACGTCCCTCTCGCAGTTTCTTGTTCCTCTTGTAAGTATCGGTGTTCTTAGCGTCCAAAGCCGCGTGTCGCTTCTCCGACATACTCTGCCTACCTAAAGCGTCGCGAGAGAACTTATTCGAAGAGCAGTTAAATTCCTCCAACGACAATTGACTGTCGTAAGTCGGATCCCCGGAATACTGACTATCTTTGTCGTCCGTACTTCTTTTAGCTTCATTGCACTGTGGTTCGTTGGAGTCCTCTAACAACACTGGTTCCACACGATCGTCCCTTGGTCCTATGGTGATCTTCTTCACGTTACTAACGGGTTCTATCCATGTTTTATTGGTAGCGATACAGTAGCTCTCGTTTCTAAGGCTATTTTTGTTATACTGTTCCGTTAATCGATCGATAACTGGATTCCAAGGAGACGCCGTCACGCAAGACAACAGACCACCATTGTCCAAAATGTCCGTCTGGGAGTTTAAGCTGTTCTTCTCCTTTATTCTACCCTCGTTGCTCTTCGTGGAATCGGATATGTATATACTATTGGCAGACTCTAATTTACAGTGCGAAGACAAATTTTCCGGAAGATTCTTTTCATTTGCGTCGTAGGATGATATCCTCCTAGCTATGGTCAGGGTGATCACTCCTGTTACCGAGCTGTTCGTATTCAGCATCGCTCTTCGAAGGGTTTCCATCGCGTCCGAATTTGATAGGCCTAACAAAGATACCCCATTGACATTGAGCAATTGATCATTGGTCCTTAATCTGCCGTCCCTAGAGGCTGCTCCTCCGTGGATGACACTCTTTATAAAGATCCCCAAATCCATGTTTGTGTTCTCGTCGGTATTGGTAGTCTTTCCCTTAACGCTAACACCTAATCCTGCTTTCTCTGAATCGTGTACCGGTATGTCTAAGGTTAATATCATACGATTTTTACGCGGAGAGAGCACGATGTCTTCCGATGTAGATTTCACTGGTTTGAACGTGCACTTTTCATAGCTATGGGTACTAATTTTATCTTGCACTTCTATGTTCTTTTTTACTGGCGATGTGTTCGACGTGTTCCAATATTTCGAATTGTCTGTACTGTCGGAAGCTTGATTAGTGGGGCTCACGTGGGAATGGGAGTCAGGAATGGTGGAGGAAATTTCTTCCTGACGCGATACCACCATTCTTACCTTACCCCCTGGTGGAATACTTCTAAGAAGGGAGACCACCTCCGCTTGACTTTTACCCGTCATTTCTTTGTTATTCACTTCCAGCAACCTGTCGCCAGGCCTTAATCTACCATCTTCAACAGCAGCACCTTTTGGTAATATATTCTTAATGTATATCGGGCAATGGCCGCCGGCAGGATTGTCGCGTGTCGTGACGCTAAATCCGAGACCGTTGCTCCCCTTCGTTAATTCTATCTCGATCATACGGCCGATCTTACGAGTGTTGGCGGTCTGTAACAAATTATAGTTGCTACACTGAAGTCTTTTAACGTTATCGTCGGTTTCTGTCTTTTCCGTTCCCCCACTAGTATTTCCATGATTTTTATGCAACGATTTCTCACGTGGTTTCTTATGCTTTACAACGGAAATCTGCAAACATGGTTCAGTCATACAGGTACGAAATATTTCTTGCACTTTGGAGAATGGTATGTGTAACAGATTGTGACCATTTATTTTTATAATCTTATCATGCAAATCGATCTGACCATCTCTAGCAATTCTGCCATTGGGCTCAATACCTTCAACTCTAAGTCCTTGATCATTACCCAATAAGTCATAACATGGCACCACATGAAGCCCCAGTGGTCCTGCTTCATTCTTTATTACAATCTCTTTGATCTCTCCCTGATTCCCAGTTTCAATATTGGCATTTATATATTCAAATGATACTTTGGCATCTTGTCCCAGTGGTTCTCTACGGCGAGACTCTCTGGGAAGGGACTGAGCAGAATATGTGGCTAAACATGGTTCTTTAGTTGATAACGCATGCATTGACAATCTTTTAGTACTTTCTCTTTTTATACTGGGAGGTATGGAGGAATGTGTATCAATTGCATAGGATGGTTCTTTGCCATCTGAATGAAAAAAATCAGGGCTATTTGTTCCAACTGAACTAGCCCCATCACCACCAACATGCGTACCATCTGTATTCACAAAATGAGCAACAATCTGTTCTCTGTCATCAGCTACATCACATAACCTATCATCTGGATCCAACAGACCACCTCCAGTTAGAGAGGATAAACTATTTATAGTTAATGCACTATCGTTTTTCCCAGTTGCCTTTTTATACCTTAGAATAGCCTCATGCATTAAATCTTTAACCAGTAGGGTTCCATCCCCGCATGGAACCACCACTCTAACGTTATCGAAACACACAGTTACCTTCATGCTCGCTCCGATTTCATATTATCTTGTTATACGTTTACGGCCTCGTATCGATTATTCGTAATAGTATAAACTGGTTCGAAAATATTTTGAATGTACTAACAATCAGGTATAACGATATAAATGCATGTATCGTGAAATATACAAAGTTGTAAATGCTCTTCGTATAATACGATTATCTTGTACTATCTGTCGTGTACTTCCATATTCCGATAATGAATCACCGACATAGTACATTGATCACTTTCTTCTCCTTATTGTTGACTAATTTTGTTTAAAAACTAAGCGTAAGTACCAAAATTAAGTGAACATACTCGAAACAAAAAACTTTGTCACGACTGATAAGGTGGACGCGTACGCCCAACTTTATCACAACATCAAATATACGGAACAGACGCACTCGCCATTACCACATTTTATTCCACTATTCCTTGTGGCGATCCAACGGAAAGCAAGGAAAGATGGCGATACGAACAGTGCTGCCAACGAAACCCAACCCCACGTACCGCCTTCGGTTTTTAATATTCGAAGGAATACGTTTTAATTGCAATAAACGAGAAGCAGTAGAAATAATGCTTACCTTGTTTCATAAACTGAGCCATTATTTAACTGTAGCAGTTGTAAGAACAAGGCAACAAATGATTCATACACAACTTTTTAGGTGCTGTCCTTCGTTTGGACCACCATCTTATTTACACACCAACCATTATTAAAATGGTTCATATCCACTGGTTCTTGTTTAACCTTGAAATTTAAAGGTTGCTTTCCAATCAACGGACTTTGTCCGATCAACAACGGAACTTACACCTCAATTGGCGAAGAAACAGATGCACAACCATAAATGTTTGTCACTAATTTCCATGATATGAGAGTTATATTTACAAATTTATGTAAAATAGTAATTGATAATGCTTATATTACTTAAATTATAAAGCGTACCCTGTATTTAAAATAAAAATAAATCCAATAACCTTTTTAATACCAGAGAGGAGCAGAGAGTGCTCACTCTCCCGGGGGCTACCTACCCAAACCTTACTCTGATTTTGAAACGTCAACTTCTACAGAAAATTTCTAGTGATTAAACTACTTTTTCATTACGTCATTATCAACCGATAGTGCAATAGAACAAAGATATTTGCAATTTCATAAAAAGAAAATGAAGTGGTTTGAGGGTAGCATCAATGAAGCAGTTGCAACATCAAAATTAAGAAAAGCAATTTTCGTCGTCTTTGTTGAAGGTGTATATTTAGAATCTTAGGTTAAGCTATCATTATTCAATCTGTTATTATTTGTTTCTAATTAACATTACACAGCATCTATAATTAGAAACCTGTCTACACATTCTTAGCTGTTCTTTATCTTATATTCTTACATTATACCCTGAATGTTCCATCAACTCTATAAGACTAATTTTTTTTCCAATCTATTTACAGGGAAAGATGAAACATCTACTCAAGTTGCTCAAGCAATCAATGCCACAGAAGTTTCACGCCGCTTGGAACAAGAAGATTTTGTAGCAATACGGTTGGAAAGTGGATCTGAGTCCTATGTGTTCTTTGCCCAAATCTGTATCCTTTTATATAATCTCTAACATATATCATTAGGGCAATATATCATACAAATTTCATAAAAAATTTATATATTCCTGAAAATGCCTTATTAGATCAATTGGTACCTGTACCATCTCTGTTCTTTATTGGTGAGAATGGAATACCATTGGAAATTGTTGCTGGTAGTACAACATCAGCTGATCTATTGGCCAAGATTGAGTTGGTATTATCAAAAGCAGGAAAGAATAAAAATACTTCTGCCAATTTGATAGATGCTGAACAGAAGGCAGCTGCTACTAATGCTCCCAATAACACAAGCGTTAACATAGAAGGCAATACACCAAAATCAAATGTAGAAATGCCACTAAAACAAACTAGCCCAGAAAATGTAAGTAATGCTGTAATTAAAAATGATACAAAAGAAGAACCATCTACAAGCATAAAAGTCACTGAAGCAGCAAAAACAACAAATGATAAGCAAGAAACACATACCAAAGAATTAACAACAGAAGTAAGTGTCTGCAACATTGGGTCCCTCGAAATCATCTTATAACGACGAATAAATATTACACTTATGTCTTTAGGAAAAATTAGAAAGAGCACGAAAAATGTTAGAATTACAACAAAAGCAACGCATAGAAGAGGAGGAACGAAAAGAGAAGGAAAGAGAATTAGAGCGTCGAAAAATGAGACGTGAATTGCAAAACATGAAACGTACCGAAAAACAGCAAGAGTTATCGGACAGAGAAAAAATTCGGCAACAAATTGCTCAGGATAAATTAGAAAGGAAGCATAAGGAGCTTGCTTTACAGGTTTGTGTATCCTTTTTATTATGAAAATATTATTTTGTGTTACAAAATACATCATACGTAATCATATTGAGTACAGCAGCAAATGCAGCATCAACAGCCTCAGCAAGAGCTACCTAAACCATACGCTCCCATGGTAAACGATGCAACCGTAACTAGAATACAATTTCGATTGCCGTCTGGCAATCCTCACATGGGACAATTCGAACCAACGTGCACTTTACGTAATTTGCGTGCATACGTCGTTGAGAACATCACGTTACCTTTTCGGCAATTCGCAATGTCTACCTCTTTCCCTAGAAGGGAATTAATGCGCGAGGATGATGACAAAACTCTTTTAGAATTGGAACTGGTTCCCACAGCTGTTATCTTAATTCTACCCTTGAAAAACGTAATCTCGATTTGTACATTTTTACAGTCTTGTCTGTTGGGCAACATTAGTGATTGCAATTTCTTATTTGCAGTCGAATGTCACGACAACTGTAACCTCGACACAAGATATTAGCCTTATGCCACGATTCGTGTGGTCCATTTTTGCGGTTGTTACACACGTGTACTATTATGTGATAGGTTATTTCACAGGACGTGGAAATTCACAGGAACAACAAAGTGGCACTGCTGAGAACAAGGATACGACAAATAATTCAGGTGGATCAGTTCAATCGAATATTCAAAATGTTGCTACTTCATCAGGGTAGGTTTTTTTAGATTTAGATATTAACTATCGATGTAACTAGATCAGGGCACAAAGTAATGGACGACATTATGCAACAATGTTAGTTGCAACACTTTTAACAATGAAATACGTATATTAAAATATTCTTTGTAGGTTAGTTCGAAGATACATGACTAACCGAGAAAGCACAACCATCAAAGCCGAAGGTAACATACATAGATTACACTCAGGCGGGGATGATAATGATGAAAATAATACATGGAATGGTAATTCAACGCAACAAATGTGAATTATCAATTAGATCGATAAAACTCCACCTGGCTCTGCTGTTTCATTGATCAAACTTATGAATATATGCAATATATTTTGTTAAACTTTTATACCTTTCTGTTCTATTGCACTGCAATCGAATGTCGCGTGTTCCATGCTACGATCACGCCGACATATTATTCTAATCGAAGTTGTTGTATATTTTCGAGTGGTAATAAGGATTGTCTTAAGAATAATACAACCACATTGCATCTTAATTTTATAGTCGAGGACAAAATAATGTATTAAGCAGATGGCCTTTTATTCTGTTAATATATATATATAAATAAACATATAGAAAATTGGCACAAACTTTTATTCGCATTGCGCGACACCTTTTCACCGAAGAAGCTGGAGAACGATGGTCACCATTTCGCGAGACGTGCCAGTTAATGGCGCCGACTGACCGAGTAAAATGATACATAATGGTTTATTACAACGGCGAGAACATGGAACGATGACATACGATTTTTCGTCTGACGAAATCTGACTCCAAAAATATGTTCAAGGCGAGGAAAACAAATGCCAGAAAACTGTCTGAATCGTCTTGTTTTGCGGTTGACACGTTCAGAAAAACCGATAATTTACACCCTTGGGCTCCCACTATGTTGGTGTCGATTGCGGCACCAATTAAGCGTTAAATTGACAAGCATTTTGGCTGACTTGTTCCTTCAAAGGTTTCAGCTTTCTGGCAATATAACATATTGTAGAACCTGCGAGAGGAGTGTCGTCTGGGAAATGTGATCTTACGGATACACCTACTGGTCCCTTCAACGCCTCTGCTACTCTATCATGTATTCTTTACAAATACACTTTTGTTGTGTAATTTGATTAAAAAATAAAATAAACGTAGTACATATAAATATGATATTACAGAGAAGAATCATGATTTGGCTACAAGAAGTTTGAAACAAATTTCTGCAATGTACTTTGCCAGTTCTCATAATCGTAGCCAAGTTTCACGTCTGTCAACAGTTCTTGTATCACTCTATCATCTCTATCATCGTTGCATTAATACACGCAATTGTCTGTCTAATAATCTCATTAAAATTACAACCGGATGGTCAACGATAGAAACGACAAGCTTGTCAAATCGTTAGATTTTATATGAATCTATTGGAATTCAAACGATGCTCAGTGTGGGTTAAGATCTAATAATATATTCGAATCATTTACTTTTTCATACTGTTCTATTTACACGATCAATTTGGAAGGATTTTCTACTAATATTTCATGTGACACGATACATTGAGTACATATTCTAAGATACAAGGTATCTGATGTAAAATAGCACCACCGACCAGGGGATGATTTTACTTGCAAGAATAACATCCATTAATTGTAAATGTTACTATTTATCCCTAATTACTTTAGAATAAAAATGATTTAAGTAAAATCATTTTTTAAGTTCAGATGAAATTCGATGAGGTCAAAATTTCAATTCGAGCAAAGTAACAGATTTGAAAATTGATTTCGAATCACGGCTGACTACTGTCAGGACAATTATTAAATAGCGTTTCACGAGGTTGACAGAAATTTATGGATACCTCATTACCACCGTTTAGTGACTGTTACCGTCCCGCTGGTACGAGATCATTAGGAGGGTTCCTTCCAGAAACGCACGTGCTTGCCAAGAACCGCCCAAGCTTATTTCAGATTGGTCGAGCATAGAATGACGTCGTGAGCACGTGGCTTTTCGATACCGCCTCAAAGAACGAAGAATTTGACTTGGCTGCCAAAAAAAAATATTGTTGGACATGGTGAGCAACTCCGACAAACAGTCGCTGGTTTCGACTCTAATCCCGCGAACGGTTCATAGGGTATCTATCTATGAACGCCTTGGATCGATTTCCTATTTGCAAAGATAATCATAATCTTAATTAGAATGCTTCGTTAATTTTGTACAAAATTTTGAGATCGATTCGAACAGGTAGCTCCTGCGACAACAGTGATAAACGGTGGTGAAACAATGTGCAGTGATTCTTAAAAGAACAATCGTTTGAAGGACTAGCAATTGATAGATACCTATCTCCTGAAGTACTCTAGAAGATAACTAGTCATTCTGCTCATTGTACGATTAGAGTACCGAATAGTGATTAGATCTAGATGTTAGTGCATTTGAAGTAGGATGACGGAAGAACGCGTAAAAACATCTGAATGTACGAAAGAATCAACCGAAGTAATCGAGAGCCCTAAAATATGTTCGTTCAGCATCGAAAGTCTCCTAGCACCAAGTAAGAAGATCATTGAAAATGATACCCGTGTACCAAGTCATACCGAAATCTATTTACACGGACAGGAATGTAAGTATATCGAAAATACTGTAATATTGTGGAAAAATATAGAAAACTGTTAATTGCGATTAATTTAAATAGCGAATGATTCTGAGGGCCGGAAGCTGGTAGCACCAGATTCCTCGATGACTATGGCAGAAGAAGTCGAATTCGATGATTCTGACATGGTTTGCTCCACCTCCCCTGAGCCAGAGATGTGTTACGGTAAGTTAAATTTAATTTAAGTTCTTACTAGACAAAGAATATTAATTAATCAACGATAGGGTAATCCAAGGATAGGGCTCTCGTCGAATAGGAAACTAAATACTTATACAGATTGCGTTCTGTAAAATGACACAGCATAACTAAACAAATTATACAGGTGTCGCACACTTGTGCTTGCTTTGACAAATTACTTGGTTAATAAAGATATATCGAGCGAAAATTGAGGTGCAAACGCTTGAAAAATGTTTTTAATTTATTGACGATAAGCAATGAAGTTATTTCAGTTGAACGACCGCTACTTAAGACATTGTGTAATATTATCTACCCGTCTTTACCTTTTCTTAAATCGCGCGATTAAGCAAGATATCTCAATCGAACAGCAGTAAAACTAATATTATGCGATATACCACATGAATCTCTCGCAAACATATCAATGTTTCCCTCAGGACGCGTTTCCTTGTTTTTCAACATATTACTGACCGTTGCAAACTTAATTAACCCCTTTTGTATTATTTTTTGTGCCGGTCATCGATGGCCTTAGTTGCGTTCAACCCGTTCAAATTTATGCTTAACGAATACTTCGGTGATGGTATACAACCGAAGAATAGTTGCTTTGTTGTACCTTTCAACCCCACCATTATTACACGCTTAATTCGTATATTGTTACCAACGTGAAAGCGAGTGATTGTTACAGAATCCACGCGTTTCCTTCGCGTGGTAACGAATTCGTAAGTTCGCGCAGAGGACCGTTGCCCGTGAGTTTGATCCATTACTTCCTGCAGGGTCCACGCCCACTCAATGTTCCTGCTTCTCGTCCACTATTTATCTGTCTCCTGCTAATTCTGCCATGGAAATGCAGCAAAATGTGCCCTCATGCCGTACTTAGTACAAAATGAAAAAAAAGGATCATAAACTGTGACCATTTCGTGGTGTCTTATTGGTTGATCCAATAATTTTTACCGCTCTCCCATTATTATTCCAAGTAATAATAATTTTTAATTTAACATCAAAGCGAATTGAAATTTCACTTTAGACGAAGTGCTGTATGATTTCTGAATAATCATTAATGCACTGCAAGACCCTATTCTATTCTTTGGGGAGAGTCGATGACTAATATTTACCAAGGACCTTCACCTGCCGTGATTTACACGGTATAATGAACGCTGCGATAAATTCGAGATCTAAGGAAAGGATAATTCTGAAACTGAGATATGTGGGACGTCGGGTCCAACTACAAAGCCGTCAACGCGAAGCGTAAATCTTTGCAAGAGCAGCCTCGTGAACGAGTCAACTCGTCCAAAATTGATCTCCTTTTAAATCTACCTTTTCTCGTGTGTCTATCTTTTTTGGGCAAATTTAATAATACTGCCTTGCTGATTAATTGTCAACGGAACACCATGATAAATTATTAAAAAGGGACAGTAATCCGTCTAATCTTGAAGCGTCGTTGGACCAATCGTCGGACGTCACTTGCGTACGAATTAATTATCCTACTAGTTGACCGGTGAGTGTGAAATCGTGCAACGACGAACGAATGAAAATTAGCCACGCTTTATCGCGCATTTCTACTCGTCCTTTCGCCATTCATCACCGAATAATTAGGAGACAAGTTCACCGTGGCTCGCGGCAATTAGGTAAACTAGTGGGCGTGGTGTTCTATTTCGGCGACGCAACGCGTCGTCTTCCATCGCACGCTCCTCTCAGCCTCTTTTAAGTTCCTTTTTGCACTGTTGCCTTCCACTCTCCAACCCTTTCTTTCCTTTTCACAGAGCTCGTTCGTCAATGCAACCGAGTCAGAAAGTCGACGACAAATGAGCCGCGCGAGAGTAACGGCACCCTCCGAAAATATTTTCCTCTTCCGTTCGTTCAGTAGACGCTTCCTGTCAAGGAATGTCGCGTCGATACAGAAGCGATCCCGAAGATACCAATTTTCTCAAGGGAAATTTATCTATCGAAATTCCGTAGAAACATAAGAGAAACGTATCCTTCCTTTGGTCACCAAATTTGCTTTTATTGCACGATGCTAATGCATCGGATGCAACTGCTTTCACTCTAGAATGTAAACAAGCAGAGCTGGTACAATTTGATATTATTATCCTAAATGTATACTGTTCTTCGGCATTTGAGTTGGAATCCTTCCTGAATTTACACGTGCACAAGCGTGCACGTCTCGCGACGGGATTCACGTCGAGTGAATTAGAGGCGGTACGGTTTTAGACGACGACTCTGTACCACGGGGCTGGGAAGTCTCGAAAAACGCGCGAGAAACGCGACAATTACGTCGCCATCTGACAATTAGTAGCCGGTAAACGACACTCTGCGCAGCCAGTAATCACGCGGGAAGTATTTTTTTATTTCTCGGGATATTTATTGCCCGTCTAACTGCGCGAACTCGGCCGAGCCGATCCATTCTACTCGCGAACAAGGAAGCTTTAGTCATCAATTTATCGATGCCAAAATAACTGATCTTCTTCGTGTCTGATTACACCATAAATGGATAACTCTTGTCTCCTTGATATGCTTCACTTAAGTGCTCGATAGAGATTAGATTCTCCGATCGATTTGTCTCTTCGAGAAATACAGAAATATTATATTGATTTTTTTCTTGAACCGTTTATCCAAAGGTGATAAAGTGGGACACAGAATATGTGCTTCACGAAGCGCGTATGGCATCACCATGTATCTTCTTTTTTTTTCTTTAAAGTAGCAGACATATATTCAACGTTAGAGCGTCGCGCTGCCACGGTTTTTCGTCGGATGACGAATGGGCAGATAATTAGAAGATGATCCCCGCTGCTTAGAGCGCGCTCCTGTTACCAGTCGACTAAAAGAGACCCCGAAGACATTCCTCATGTGGGAGGCGCGACGTCTTGTACGAGCAGCTTGTAACCCGGGGATAAATATAAATATAAACAACTTCGACGGGCAAAAAGTTGCTGAGATTGATGAGAAAAGAAATCTTGCACGGGTAATTGGACCTCGTCGAGTCCTCAACAGTCATTGTTTGCATCGTTTTCATACTTCTTTGAAAGCGAGTTAAACGTCTTTACAAATCTTCGCCGTCGCGTGAAAATCGGATAATGGATCATTCAATTTTTGAGTTAATTTAATTATCCAAGAAAGGAAAAATGCACCATAAAATATTCCTCGTCATCCGTTGTTCCAGGATTAAATCTAATCTTCAATGCCTAACATTGAATACAATGTTATACTTTATAATTTGCCGATGGCTACTGTTTAATCTCACGCGACACACGTGTTATTAGACCGCATATAATTACAATGCGTTTTCATTCCATTTAATCGGCTTGTAGTAACGCGACCGCGTAGCGCAATTACCGTGATAATTACCATGATAAGGAAACGTTGTTTAATTATCATTCTTCGTTAAGAGTTTTATCTTTTATTTTTTTCATGGTGTTCCAGAGGCGTGCACCAGTAGCAGCGGTGCCAACTCGACGACAGGTGTTGATAGGGAGGTTCAGGAGAAAAATGATAGCGCTACTAGCGACGATGAAAGGAAAAAGAGGCCACGTACGGCGTTCACCGCGGCGCAAATTAAGTCATTGGAAGCGGAATTCGAGAGGAACAAATACCTGAGCGTGGCGAAGAGATTACAGCTCAGCAAGAGTTTAAAATTGACCGAAACTCAGGTATAAATTACAGAAGAATCGCGTTATTATTCGTAATAAATATCAATGGGCCGATAAATGATCCGACGAAGAGTACCGTTAATGCTACAGAGAAAAATGACTGTCATTATATTTCATAATAATGAGAAGAACAGGACACGAACAAGATCTTTCCGCTACGATTAAAGGGAAACACGTTTCGCGGAAGTAGCTTCGAACAAGACGCACTGCACACAATAAATTGCGATAATGTCGACGACTTCCGTAGGTCCCGACCACCTGAAATAGTTTAGGTTCCTTGTACCCAAAGTTCCTCAAAATCAACCGAGCTTTGAATTATGGCTCAGAACGCCACCATATGTGTAGGCGCCAGGTCATGGCGCCATAGGGGAAGATCGCCCTTTAGGACCAATTAGTACTTATACGCCTTTTCTTCTCGCGAGTAGGGAGAGGACAAAAGAACAAAACGATCGTTGCTTTCGTAGAAATTTTTAACTAATTATCGAGTACAGAAGAATCAAGAATTGTTAGAAATTACACTGATCCGTCGCTTTCTAATATTACCCTCCCTTTTGATATCTAAGCTTTTAACAAAGATTTAGGTAATCTTCGCATTCACCACAGCATATCCGTTACTTTGTAACGTGGTTTGTGGCTGCCTTTAAACTAATTAATTTACGATTATGCATCAGACATTTCTTGTTCCGTTGAGTTGGATCTGCGAATGTTGCGAACCATGGTAATTGCGAGAACGGTAGAAATATCACGCGACACCGTGAACGAGGCAGATAATTATCTTCGCGATCATGGCAAGAGGGAGGACGATCAGAGACGACGGATCAGAGGGAAGAAGTAGACGTGTCGTGGCGCGGACATAACTGTCACAATATTTCTCGCAGTTAACGAGCCAGCTCGGGGAGTCCCTTCTTCTTGGTCCGTCGTATTCTCCGATTCGTGCATACGTTCCAGCATGCCACAAGAACGAAACATCCCGGACGACGGATGCTGCGAGGCGACGGACCGAAGAGGCGTCGATTTTTTAATTAGGATATATTGCCACTCGCATGTTCTGAATCCGGTTTACTTGGCCCCACTAAAGATAATTTTGGTGGAAATCAAGTCCAAGATGCTGACATCATTTTTTCCCGCGTTTCGTTTCACGTGTTTCACTTCTTTCTTGTGGTCTAGATAGGGATGAGCCAGGGTGCACTTCGAATCACTTAAAGCCTTAAGATTCAAAGTTCTCGAGGGTTTTAGATCTCAAATTATTGAAAAACTTGAAATTGGTTTGAAATCAAGAGAATATGAAAATCAATATTATTGATTTTCTACTCTAGATTTGCTAAAATTGCACCGCTTCAAACAGATTAGCATAAAGCCTACCACCAGCCTCGGTAGCGCAGTAGGCAGCGCGTAAGTCTCATAATCTTAAGGTCGTGAGTTCGATCCTCACCCGGGGCAAATATTTTTTGATTCTAATAAAGAACTTGTAAGAGGAACAACAAATTTTTGAATATTTCGTATGTTTTAACACGAGCTCTGTTTTTGCAGATCAAAATTTGGTTCCAAAATAGACGTACCAAGTGGAAAAGAAAGTACACGAACGACGTGGAACTATTAGCGCAACAATATTATTCTAGTTTAGGGATTCCTGCACCTCGACCAATTTTCGTAGGAGATCGTTTATGGTAAATACTATTTCTCATTTTTTTACACAAACGGTAAATTTAATTTTCTTTAATGAGAAATATGTTGCGCAGGTTTTTTAATTATCCAGGGCAACCACAACCGGGAACACCGATATTCCCGCAGCATTTAGCGACTGTACCTTTGCCACCCGCCTTGCCCATCGTGCAACCATTACCGAGTAACTTAACGATGGGTCAACAGACTTCTATTTATCAAAATATCCCCACCAATAATCCAGCGTATCATTTGAATCAAAGGCTGGATTTCAGGCATCAGGACTCTTAAGCATATTCAGTTAATAATTAGATGAAATCAAAAAGTTGATGGTGTTTAATAGGTCTTGGAACGATCCAATAATTTCGCCGATTACCGCAATAGGTCACAAAGACATATCACGTTCGAAAGCAATAAGAATCGTGTTAGTTGCATTTATTATAAGGAAAGGCAATATATACAACACATAATTATTGCAATAACAATCTTCTTTTTTTAATGGGAAAACTAACAAATATATTTTTATTTCGAAATGATATACGTTGATATGATTATTTATTAATAAATAATAGTGCGATCCTTTCTTGTATGCTGTTATAAAAAAAATAGGAATAAATAAATTATTTATTATCTGTACAATATAACAGTAGAAAAAAAGGAAATTGATGGTATCTAAAACATAAAAGATTTATTAAAGAGCAGAAGGGGACAGAACTTTGCTGACACCCAAGATCTTCTCATCATGGGCTGCTTGATCTTGCATAATTTTAGCATATTTTTCATTGTCCTGCAAATCTTCTTCATCCAGCATTTCTTGCATTCTTTGTTTATATCTGTAATTATATAATGTGTAAGGTATACCTTAATTACGAACGAAGGAATATACCCATTCATATACGAACACGCGCGCTGGCATACACTGATCTGCTTACACACACACTTATCACCTTAAAACTATACTTACATATCACTGTCAGGATTATTTTCCTGGTTTCTACATTTTTCTAATTTCTTTTCCAAAGCCCTTACCACTTCCCTTGAGGGTGGTTCTACACACTTAGCCATTGATCTTATTTCTATAATACATATTACATGCTATATATAAAATGTATTACAGAAATATCTCTAAGCTATGTAGAAGAAAGAAGATATATTTACTTCTTACTGCCTCAATTATACACCCTAAGTGCTCTTTAGAAAACAAGATATCAGTGACATAATTGTCCAAGTTAGCAGAGGCTCTGGATGCAGCATGCAATGTTGCAGCTAAGGCAACTTGACTTGGGGTATAAAGCAACACACTATCAGTCAAGAATACTCTTTCCAAAAATTCATCTATATATGGCCTCAGCCTTTCTGGATTTTCCAAAGAAGTGTACCTTGTCTAAAAGTACATGATATGAACTATTGCGAACATTGAATACATAATACCATAAAGACTTTCAAGATATACCTTGATATCTATCATCAGACCCTCTACTGGTCTAAATGGATTATGTACAGTTAAATTATAATTCAACTGTTGCATAAGGAGCAATTCATTGTTCAGTATGATATCAGATGCTTTTTCTCTATCCCCCTTAATGTTAGCAACAAACTGATATATGGAAACATTGAATTCTTCTACCTAAAACCAACTTCTGTGATATACTGCAGAAGTTTACAGGCAGAGAAAGTAATACAACACGATAATTACTTTACAAGCCAGGTAGACACATGTGACCAGAATCTCTTTTGGATGGTAATCCATAACACTATTTCTCAGATAGAATCTTTTGAAGTAATGCAATGCAGTGGCTATAGTAGCTCTTGGCATTGGAGGGCTAAACCGTCTACAGAAATCTCTCAATTGTAATTCATAGAAACGAAGAAGAGTACGTTCCTCTGTATGTGATAAGAAATGTTCCTCCCTTTCCTCAGGCTTTTCAAAATACACATTTATACATTATTTTCGAAAAATTGACCAAGTGTTAAATGGAAAGGTGCCAATTATAAGACGTAATACATAATGGCAAAGAAAATTAAATATTCATTAAAGGAATAATATAAAGCTGTGTACATATATATCATCAAGTTGCTGCCAAGTATAAGCCGTAATACATAATGGCAAAGAAAATTAAATATTCGTTAAAGGAATAATATGAAGCAGTATACATATATTATATATAAACAAGTTGGAATCAAGCACATTTTGCATTATTGATGGTGGTAAACCAGGGCGTATAATCTCCAAAAATGATTACTTAAAACTAACAATTTTATGTCTGATGACAAATCTTGTTGTGGAAACCACATTCGAAAGTTAGCACGTGGAATAATTTGACTTACCGTCATGTGCGCCCCATGCTTTTCAATAAACTCTGCATTAGTCTTTTCTCTTAATGCAGCTAGATCATTTTCATCGCTAAACATCCAATACCTTCTTTGCGAGCTTTGTGGAAACATCGTCTCTTCCAAATAAAAAACATACAAAAGAACAAACCGCAGAAGAAAATTCGAAATAGAAATTTATACTATGACTCGACGCGGTAAAAACAAATACATTAACCAGTAACTACAAATCTAACAAGATTGGACATCCTAGTATAAAAATGTGAAATGCTTTGCACTGGCGGTACCCAACTGCAATGTTTCATCCAATCGACTAAGGAGGGCAGCATTAGGTGCGCTTCGGTACGACTTCAAGTCGATATGATCGAGAACTACAGTGAACGGACGCGTTGCGGGAAAAGTTTTGTTCTTGCAGAAAATAACGAAATGTAGAGGTAAGTTTATCTGTCATTTGTTTTCAAGAAGTATTTACTACAGAATGAACACTTATGTTCATAAATAGCATTGATCTAATAAGTAGTAATTCGTTTTCAATGTTATAATTACGAATAGTCCATGCAACAATGTATGGTTATGTGCAGTTTAAACTTTCATTAATTAAAAGAAAGAAATACTTCACCACCCACACTTTGTTTTTCCATGTTATTTACGAACAAAGACAAGAGGTTCTACGTTAGTCTCTCCCTTGTCTCTCCCTTCATTCTCCCTGAGATCTATCAAGACGTCCACGATACACAATGCAACAAATGCGATGCAACAAATGCGGACAAAATGGCGGGGTGATCGAGGAAGGAATCTCGACGTGCAGTTATACAGGTAAGTGCTAAACAGTTTATTAACACTAGATTTACTAACGTTTGATGCAGACTTATTTTAAAGTTGAAAACAACGTAGTAAATTAAATAGATGGAGGATGAAATATAATTTAATACATATGTACATCCATCTTTTATCTCAACAATAGCCAACATACGTTTCAACCAAAATACCTTGATAAGATTTGTAATTTAAAATAAAAAACTTGAAACCAGTCATATTGACTGGTCCTGTAAATCTAGTGTTAAATAGTATGGCGAGTATAATCTACAATACCACCATTCTTTTTTCTAATTAGTGTTAAATCCGTATGTCGTTTCTATACGATTTCGATAATTTATTTTTATGAGAAACCTTACAAACGGTGTAGCGGTTTTGAAGGTAATATTTTCACGTGTTAGTGTTTATGAAATTAAGCGCACCGTAATATAAGAGAGTCAGACTTTTCGGTAAAAGGGCTCATATTTTCTGGTAACGTGATTGTACGTGCCGGTAATAAACAAGATCGGCGAATGGTCGGCATAGGGGTCAGAAGTGGGGGTCCAATTTTAATATGTACGCCCCCGCAAGCGGTTGCACGTCGGATCTGAGAGGGCGTTCCTACGACCCTTTGTCAACTGACGACGCCGCTGCATCTTATCACGATCAAGGCTCGGGATCTCCCATTCTGCTCCTCTACCTCGTTGAGCCCTCAGGGCCATCCCGGTGCTGCCGCTTGTTCAAGCAAAGACGTTGCCTCGACGTCTCGGTGGCTATAACTTTCTACTTTTTGCACCTTGATTTATGCTTCTTTATGCTACGCGACGATACGTCGTCGTTGTGGTACAGTGGATCTCTTAAAATTTTGCCAAGCATCTGCATCTCAACGATCTCAGATGAAAGATAAAGCTACCGTCCAAGAAATTTCTATCTCCTTCAATCGGAATTGAATACGAATGTATACCGCTGTATCGAGTTGACCATGAATTTATGGTTCACGATAGATTTATAATACTAATCACGAATAAATAAACGAGTACCCGAACTTACGACACTCCGACGATTGGTGGAAATATTCCATTTGTGTGATTGATTTGACGCCACTGGAGAACCTTAATTTCCGACTAAATCCACATCGAGGAAACGATATCGCACCCGAAAGTGAAGTACATCCGCCATTAATCTAATATTGCGGTTGCCGCCGCCCTCGACTTTGCGTGCTGCACCCTTGAAGCTTGCTCCCTTCGTACAAATACAGACGCCGACATTGTTGTTGTGAATATGAACATGGAGACCTAGTGGAGAACCAATCGGTTCGGTCTACCGGTAACTGTGATGCAAAATCAGTGTCTGGCATGGCGTATGAGGTACGAATGAAGCGGATTACCTTCGAACCCTTTTAATTTGATAGTTTACCGAAGCACTTTCCATCAAATACAATGTTATTTTTGCTTTTGATAAAGAATTGGACGAGATAATTCGGAACTTCCAAGTATTCCTTTGTTGTGTGACAAAAGTACAATACATATTTTCTTTTTGTATGCGTGACCCAGTGTATCGCATGACCGTTAGCATGCTATGGTATCGTCGTCGGTTAACCCGCAAAAAGCGGTATCACGCCTGCTTCTAACACTCTACGTCTGATCGCCTGGGTATATTGCACGCAAGCCTTCGGCGATCGAAGCCTTTTCGTGTGTTGTTCGTCTTGATGGACGTACTGTTTGCATACTATATAAAGTTGGCAGTCACGATCCTACTGTTCCTCGCCAAAAAGTAGCCAGCGGTACGCTAACGATACTCCTGGAAGCACGTATCAATTACGATGATACTTTGCTAAAAATAAACCAAGTGAAACTCGTACATGCAACAACAAAATTTCTAAATTTTATAATTTTGTTATAATTTAAGTTGGCGAACTAAAAGTTTGCAATATTGAAATATAACATCGGTTAGTTGAACATGGAGAACACCGGTGTATTTGTGACAGGTAATTATTTAATAAGACCCAGTATTCGTGTTAACAGACAATATATTACTACCGTCTGTACACAATGTGTATTATCTGGTATCGGATGTTTCGAACAGTGTTCACTGGTTTGTGAAATAATTATACATGCCGAATGCACGAAACTAAGTTTACCAGAGACGTCGTTACGTAACAAATCATAAATCTCGCAGTCAGTGAACATACGTGACTGAAAAATCGAGGTACACCGTTTTGCTGCGATTGCTTATATATGCAGCTATGTTTGTAAAGTCATATCCATATGAAAATATTGTACGTAACAGAGTCTGTTCGTGTCCACAACTCGCGTTCTAACGTTATGTTCAACGATGATGTCCTGTCATATGAGTCATGATGTTTATCCGAGATTACTGCAATTTAT